ATTCTCTGCTTTCAGCCAAGATCCATCTAACGTCAGCAACAATATCCCTAGTACCAAGACCCCTTCTAAACTTTTAATTATTACTTGAAAATGATTGGTTACCATATGTAAATGAGTATTTCCCTTCCCCCCAAAGAAAACGTAAAAGTGTCAAGAAAATAAACCATTCTTTCCCTTTTTCCTTCCTATGATGGATAATTTGAGCAATATTGATGCTTATTTAAGAACTGAAACTTGATAATGCTCTAAAAGAATCAAAAGAATTTAAGAGTCAGAAACAAAACAGTGGCTGCTTCCTGCAGTTTGGCTCCATGGTTTGGATATTCAGGGTAATTGTTTCATAAGGCTTCTCAGTTTTGGCCTGGTATGTGGTTAGGCATCAGTTCTACCTCTCACTTTATTGTATAGAGCCTAGGATCTTAAGAGCTTGCAAATGGCTATTCAGGGTAAGACTTGGTCTCTATTCAACTGGAGCAACAGAAGAAAAAGGAGAGTCAAGACTGGCTTTGTGACCAGAAGACACTACATGGTGACTGATTACCATTAATGAACATTTTGAACAAAGATTTTGTGGAAGAATGCTGATCAGAAGAGAGAAAATGCAGAACAGACTTTCAGATTCTCATGTCATCCCTTCTAGAGATGTGGAGACTGGATGAACTCCTGAAATTGTTGACCTGAGAAAGTCTTTAAACTGCAAACCAAAAATATGCCTTGAATTCTTAAAACCAATTAAGAGTTTAGCTATATTAATACAGAATGTCTCTTATTAAGCATTGTGTTCTTATAGGAACGATCATAGCAATTTGAAGGAGTAAATTGGAAATTTAAGGGCAACAGGTGAATGTTAAGAGCCCTGGTAGTGTATTGGCTGAAGTGTTGGCCTGCTAACCAACAGGCCAGTAGTTCAGATCCACTGGCTGCTCCTTGAGGAGGATGAGACAATCTGCTTTTATACAGATAGCCGTCCTGGGAAATCATGTGGGCAATAGCCTGAGTATGGTTGCGAATGTAATCATTGTCATGTCATTGTTCACAAACTATTGGCGTATGATCTACTGTACACAGAACAAATTAGACAAGAATAGTTGAAAGAATGTTGGGGAAAAGAAAAATGTGTTAAAAGATAATTTTAATGTAGTTGTTACTGTTGGTATGTGTCATCATCAAGTCTACTGTGACTCCCAGAGACCTAACGAACAGTGGGTCTGAACTCTACCCCTGCGCTGTGCTGTCCTTTGTCATCTCTAATATATAGAGACCTTTTATTAAAGTCTCTGTGTCAGTCCATCTTGTTAAGGGTCTTCCTTTCTTTTGTTGGCCTTCCTCCTTTCAAAGCATATCTTTTTCCGAGGACGACTGACCCCTCCTAACAACACACCCTAAATATGTGGAATGAAGTTTCACCATCTTTGCCTCTAAGGATAGTTGCACTTTATCCAGCACATATTTGTTTATTCTTTTATCAGTCCATGCACTATATTTAGTACTCTTCTCCAATACCATAGCTCAAAGGCCTTGATTCTTCTGTCTTCTGATTCATTCATTGTCCAACTTTGAGATGTATAGCAAGTAATTGAAAAGACCATCATCTCTTATATGCCAACCATTGCCACATTGTTTGCTTAAATTATAATGAAATTGAGTAAAGTATTAAAAAATGGGAAAATGTTTTATAAATGATAAAATGAGTTTGAAATGCAATTATGATAAACATTTCAAATAGTTCTTAATGATGATACTACTTAAGGAAACCACTTATATGACTTTTAAGTCTGTAAAGAAGTTTGTGTGAAATTTTTTACAAAAATGAGAAAGAATTAGAGTACTCACCATCAGAATAGTTAATGGATATGCTTTAAATGAAAAGTAAGTTAGAACTGGATAATGACTGGAGCTGGACAGTGACGAAGAATGACAAAGACTTGAAGCCTTTGAGTTGTGGTACTGGAGAAGAGTATTGAACATACTGTAGACTGAAAAAGAGAACCAAAAGGTCTAACCTAGAGAGGATGAAACCAAGTTTCTCCTTGGAGGCTAAGAGTTTGAAACTCTGTCTCATACTTTGGGCATGTTTCCAGGAGGAACCAGTCCTTGGAGAAGGACATCATGCTCAGAAGGGTGGAGGGACAGCACAGGAGAGGAAGACCCTGGAAGAGACGGATTGATAACAGTGACTGGAGTAATGGAGGTAGGTGTGTCGAAGTCATACTGGCTGAGGACAGGGCAGACTTCAGAGCTGTTGTACATATAGTCACTATGAATCGCACATGATTTGATGACACCTAACAAGAACAACAACAAGAAGTTTGTGGTAGCTCTCTTTCTAGAGAAAGTTAGTAGGAAGGGGTTGCTCTGCCCTGGGAAACAAGTTGCTGACCTACTGTCCACGTTGGTGATTTCCAACTGTGTTTTTTAGTAGTGAACCGAAGGAGACAGGTGACTGGGTGTAGTGGGCAGAGAGAATAGTCTGTGTAGGCAGTCCAATCCTTCCAGTTTTCTGGTTATCGGGACTTAAACCTGTGCTCCTGGTTTGTTCACCTGTTTTCATCCCTGTCTATGGAAGTGATGTAATCATTTCTGGTATATGTTGACATTTTCCTTTTCTTAGTTGAAAGAGAAAATAAGAAAGAGGTCCGAAACTTTTGAGGACTTTATTACCTGTCATAGTGTTTTATGGAGGCTCCTGGGATAACTTTCTGATTTTTATCCCAAGAAGTTTTCCAACTCTTTTTTATGATTAAAAAAATATTCAAAGTGGAGGTAGAGGCTTGTTTGTACTATTTACGGAAAGCTTTGTGCCAGATTTGTGATCCTCTAGGATCCAGAGGGACAAAGATGGGCAGTCTTCTCCCCTTAAGATTTACAGCTTCAGAAACCTGAGGGTAGGTCACTGAGTTGGAAATGACAGTGAGCCTTTTCACAAATGTATATGTAGACTCTTAACTGTGGCGTCTTTTTATTCAGGCAGCACAAGTTTGGAATTAACAGTGCAAACTGGCGTCATCGTGGGTTCAGGTCCTGACTCCATCATTTGTTGTTATTAGATGCCATGCAGTCCAGTTATATTTACAGTGAACCTATGAACAATGGATCTGATCCTTGCCTATCTTTTCTTAACAATATTCAAAATGGGCAATCTGCTTGATCTCTACAAGCCAGTAGTGGAGGGACACCAAGATGATGACAAGAAGAGTCCAGGGGTTGGGGGGTTGAGAGGGTTGGGGGGAGAAAGCCACTGGTGTCCTTACGATTGGTGTCACCCATCACTTATTCGCAGGGTGGTGTTGGGAGGAGGAGGTGAAGTGCTTGCCATTGGATGGGAGGAGAGTTTCCGCCTTAACGAATTGGAAAGAGGAGGAGCTGCGGGGGGGTACAGAGAGGTCGTATGCGTACCATTGGGCAGGACGGAAAAGTGGCATGCTTGTCATTGGGCAGGACGGAGAAGTGGTTTGCTTGCCATTGGGCGGGAGGGGAAGTGGGGTGCTTGCCATTGGTAGGTTAGAGAGTCTCTGCCTTCGCCAGCGGGAGAAGGGAGGAGTTGTAAGGTAGGAGGTGGGCTGGGCACCCTGCTTGCGCATGCGCAGGGACAGAATTGTGGGACCACAATACCTCCCTACCCAGGCGTGTGTCTTCTTGGGGAAGGTTTGACACAGGTTACAGCACCGGGTGACACCAGCCTGCAAGCCACCAACCCTCCTGACGCCACAGTTGTAAGCCTGACTTTTCCTGTCTGTAAAATGGAGCCATTATTTTAAGCTTAAGTTTACCCATCTGTGAAATGGAACCATTTCCTTTTTAGAATGTTATCCAGAATCTGATGTTTGATTTAAAATAAACTCTTACAGCAGTTCTTGACACATCTGTTCCTACCCCCTTAATGTTCTTTGTTAACTTTCATCTACTTAACTCATTTTTGTTTCATGTGTTTATTGTAATGCACCCAAAATACTTACCGGAACAAGTCTAAGTAAGAATGCATACGTGTTGGCGTCTTTACACATTTAATTTAGATAAAATGTGGAATTTAAAAATATTCATAAATGCATTGCTATTACAAAATATTTTGTAGATAGATATACAGGAGGATTTACTTTTAGGCCATTTAACTTTCATTAGAGACATCACTATATAGCTTTTCTGTATTAAATGTGTATGTAGGTGTGACAGTGGTTTTCTTAAAACTCATTTTTGGTTGCAGACTTTTATGGTAAAAAGTTTTACTGTCTGAAATCTGTCATAAGACCAGAGAAGTTGCATTAATTATAGAACTCTTCAATAAACAAGTCCCCCAGTTTGAAGAGCTAGACTTTTATATGTTTAGAACAGTTGAAGACATTTACAAAGAATTAGTTGTTTGTTATTGCTTTGTGAGTTGCAAGAATGGAAAAAATAAAAAAAAGACATTCTTTCTTCAATACTTCCTTCCAGGCTGAGTCATCACTAGAGAGTGGGAAGGGCAGCAGCGACAGTGGCGGCAGCAGAGACCAGAGGCCAGAGCTGACCCTTCAGAGGACCGCTTCTCCAAGTTGGGGCTCAGAGGGGCGCCATCATGAGCGATGTCACCATTGTGAAAGAAGGCTGGGTGCAGAAGAGGGGTAAGTGTCAGTTCTGCTGACAGAGCCCTGAGCTCCGCAGTGGGCAGGCGTGCAGGGCTGAGAAGGGTGCTGCAAAGTGTATCCTGCTCGTTGATGCTGTTAACCAAGGCAGCTGAGAAGTGCCGTGTCCAGGGGCAGGCAGATGAGATGTAACCTCCTTGCTTGGGAAATGCTGATCGCTGTGGAAGTTCTACCTGATTTCCACCTTGAGGACTTTATAGTGGAATTGTAAAGTCAGATTTGATTTTGTGCTTGTGTATGTATAAGTATCATACAGTTAGGGTGCCTTTGCTCAGATTTTCCAAAACAGAGACATCCTAATGGCTAGTTTAATATCCAGAGAAGTATCTGTCTTGTATGCCTTTAAAAATGTAAATTTAGAAACTTTTCAGTTACATTTAAGTGGTAGTGGGTGAAAGATTTGCCCAGAAATTTGTGGCCTGGACAGTCCCACAAGTTAGTTAAGTAGAGGGCAGATTGAGGAGAAAGGATTGCTTTTTATTTTCCCTTTTCTGTTACTTTTAATTTTAGATGGAGGGCTAGAGAGAGGGAGGAAGATCCTCATTAAGATGGATTGACACAGTGACTGCATGCTGTGTCACCTGAGCGTGGCTCAGAGGATGTGGCAGTATAGGGCAGGGTTCCCATCTGTTGTTCATAGGCTGGTCACTGTGAGCTGGGTCAACTCCACGATACATAGCAATGTGTTTTATTTCATATTTTGTATACTACTTCAATAGTTAGTACTTGTTCACTCTTGTTTGGGGGTTAGGGAGGTTGCCCATTTGGGACAATTTTGGACAGGAGAAATGGGGTGAAGGGTGGTGAAATGTGGGCAGAGGTTTGTGTTCTGACAAGGATTTTTCTGGACCTTGATTCCCCTGAAACTCAGCTCACTCTTAATTTCAGATACATTGCTTTTTAATTAAAGGAAGAACTCTTCAGTAGATAGTTTAGTGTATGCTCTGTGAAATGTGACTAATAAGCTTATTATAAATCTAGAATTAAGACTAGTTGCTGAGCAGTTAGCTATTTACATATATGGCCAAGGTTCCATTCTCACAATTTTTAGTCCTGTGTGTTTATCTATTTATTGTCTTGCTAAACGTTACCTCTTAGGTAAAATATATACATATTTTGACATTACTTAAAGGGACCTTTGGTGGCTTAGTGTTGAGAAGCTGCACTGCCAACCCAAAGACAGGCAGTTTTGAATCCACCAGCTGCTGTGTGAAAGAAGGATGGGCATTCTATTCCCGTGTGATTTACTGCCTCTGAAAAGTGCTGGAGGGCCAGGTTCAGCTCAGATGTACACAATAACAGGACTTAATATGTATGCAGCGAAGTTGTCACCAAGTGTGATTTTGTATTACTGGGTCTAAAAAAGCCCCCCAAGCCCCAGTTTTTAACAGTACAATAAGTAATGTACACTGAAACGAACCAGTTTGAAGTGTATAGTTTGATGAATTTGGATGAGTATAAAAATAATTGTGTAACCAGACACACAGAACATTGGCTTCACCCACAGAAATTCCTTTGGTTCTCTTGTTGGTCAGTCCTCTTGCCTCAGTTCTCAACAAACACTCTCTGTCATGGAGTCAGAAAACACTCATAGTTCATCTACCAGCAGGTTTTCAGAGGCAGTTAATCCAACAGGAGGAGATTGTCTATTCTCCCTTTGGGTTGGGAATGCAGCTCTCTATTCATGAGGCCACAAGACCTCTTTCCCTTCAGCCCTGGTAAACACTAATCTGCTTTCTGAAATTACAGTTTTATTTTTCTAGGATTTCATAGACTTGGACTCACAAAGTAGTCCTTTTTTCCAATTTCTTTCATGTAACGCCTGATTCAGGCCATGATCTTTAGTCACTTGGCTATGCATCAGAGCTGGACAGTGAATAAGGATGACAGAAAAAAAATTGACATCTTTGAATTGTGGTGTTGGAGAAGAATGTTGAAGATCCCATGAAGTGCCAAAAGAACAAATAGCTATGTCTTGGAGAAGGTACAGCCAGAGTGTTTCTTGGAAGAAGGATGATGAAGCTCCATCTAACATACTTAGGTCATGTTGTTAGTAGAGGTTATTCTTTAGAGAGGGACATCATGCTTGGAAAGGTGGAGGGACAGCAAAGGAGAGGAAGACCCTCAACCAGGTTGATTAACATGGTGTCTGCACCAATGGGCTTGAGTGTGTCACATTGTGAGGATGACACAGGATAGGACAGGGTTCAGATCTGTTGTTCATCGAGTCACTATGAATCGTGCTAGGCTTGATGGCACTTAAAACAAGAAGTATAATTTGTTTGTGATTCATTCACATTGCCACATTTGTTCACATTGTAGAGGGTACTCTGGTGGTGTAGTTCCCAGGGAATTGGCTGCTGACTCAAAAGCCATTACTCTCTAATGCTTTGAATCCCCAACTTCCTGACCGCCGCATGTCCTTGCTTTGAGGACAGCCTCTGAAAACTCACTGGAGGGTTATCTGTGAGTTGGTTTCAACTCTCTGACAGCATGTTTTCACCAGTTGATGTACATTTGGGTTTTATCCAGTTATAAACAAAATTGCACTAAGCATTTGATTACATATCTTTATGTGTTAGTATGTTTTCACTTTTTTTTAAGATTTCTGGGTTGTGTTTTAAATTTGATAGAACTATATGTTTACATTTATGAAGAACCTACCAAACTGCTTTACGAAGTGATGGACCATATGTATTGTTTAATTTCACTTTTTTCTTTGACTTAAACATTGAGATGTGTGTTCAGATTTCAGTGTTGTGTGAAGTTTTTTGTGGTTTTGTTTGTTTTTAAGTTTTTTAAAGTTTATATTTTTCCTACATGTTTTGGAGGAGGGCAAGTCTCCTGAACTTTTTGAAATTATAACTGATTATATTTTTGAAATTATAACTGATTATCTATATTTTATTTTAAGTTTATATTTTTTCTACATGTTTGGAGGAGGGCAAGTCTCCTAAACTTTTTGAAATTATAACTGATTTTAAAACAGTCCCATAAGATTGTTGTCGGGATTCAGTATATGCTGTGATAATTCAGACACAAATGTAAGATGTTTTTACCTTTACATTTTATCAGAGAATAGCTCTTGAATCTGTTTAAAGAATTATGCCTCAACTGAAAGTCCTACCGGAAGATTGCTTTATTCTGCATGGACTATGTTGCTGTGTGCCATTGAATCAGAATGAACCTGTAGCTGATACTCCAGTGGGTTTTCAGAAGCAGTACATCCCACAAAAGAGCATGCCTATTTTTTCCTCATAGAGATACTTGTGGATTTGAACCACATGCCTTTGGGTTGACAGCACAACTCCTTACCACTAAACCACCCATACTCCTTGCATGAATTCTGTAAAGAGGAATAAGTGAATAACAATATTAGTGTTATCTGCAGTGGTCAAGGGTAGAGGACTCTAATGTTTGTATGTATTTGTGTGCATGTGTTTATTTACAAAATGGCCTATAGAATTAAAACAGTACTCAAAGATAGAAAATGACAAGATAAATGTTTCCACTCTGCCTGTTTCAGTTACTTTCTGAAGTTTTTTTTTACACGCAGTAATTTTAGACATTTTCCATTTTTTAAATTTTCTACTGATTTTTTCCTATTTACACTTAATTCTTCATTTCCCATTTTATATGTAATATTCTCAGTGTAGTTTCTTTGATTTAGCAGTCTTAAATAAATAGTGTTAGCCCATTATGAACTATGAAGAATTCAGTTCTTGAGAATACAGTGTTTGCTAGGTATATTTATTTCCAGGTTGGGTTTTTTTCTTTCCGTGTGTGTTTTATTTTATTTTTTTTACATGCCACTTTGTAGGTTGAAGAAATCAGCTCCTGTTACTGTCTGTCCCTTGATTTCTTACATACCCTTCCCAGCTGTGATAGTCATTTAATAATGTTAGAGTTTATCATTGTTGCATATGTTGATTCTGAAGATTGGTAAGCAGTATTGTGATTATGTAAATAATAATATTTGTTATGTACTGTCCAGTCAGAGCTGACCCATAGCTCTCTTCCAGTGAATTCTTAGTGGTGGTTAATGAATTGCAGAGGTGGCGGCTGTGTGTGACGTTGCCTGGCCCTGCTTAGCCTCGCAGTCCTAGTGCTTGAGCAAACTTGCTTCTAGAATGTTTAGTAATTTATTGTTATGTACCCTTTGAGCTGTGGTGCTGGAGAAGAGTATTGAATGTACCATGGACTGCCAAGAAAACAAACAGATTCATCCTAGAGAGGGTTAAACCAGGCTA